ACGGAATTTTCACTGAACATAAACCGTGAATTTACGAACTTCACCACTCCCAACTGCGAAACACGTTCAGAAGCACTTTTGGTACACTTTCGATCAATTACTTTCGAAAACACAACCAAAAAAGTTACAAGCGAGCCAACATCAACACCGAATATGCCGAGCTCTTACACGCACCTTGCAGCGCGTAAATAAACTGAAATTAAAAATTATCACTCGCGATGCCACTAATTTCTGGTCCGGAAGAAAATCAAACAACGCAGATCGCGACATCTTTTCTGATGCTTGCAAACATGTTGAATCACCTTTTCTTTCTCTATTCTAAAACTTCCCGGAAAGCGAGAAAACTACCAATCACACACGTATAAACGTCCGGGAGGTAGAGCGCCAGCGATAATCCGGCAATTGCAGCCGAAAACTATGAGAGCGAACGCACGCACAAAACAGAGAACAAACTTAAAACACAACCGTATCCAAAGGCGTTCGAAACTGCACCCGCACTTTAGGTGAATCATCCTGTCGCAAAAAAGCCATGCAGGAGACGGATTCTTGATCGCCTTTAACTTGTTTAGCGCATTGGTCACAGGCGAAAGTCATGCTGACTCAGTTTCCAAAAGTGATTTAGAAACAGCGGTGGAGATGCTCTAATACGCAAAGAGGAATTGGATTCTCAAGATCGCCCAATGCTTGACAATATGTCTGATTGGATAACTTTTTCACTGTTTTCACAACACAAAATATGCTCTAATTAGATGATTATCGCAACGAACTGCACTTTCCACTAACAACCAGTACAATATTACATGTATACCGAACGGAAAAAAAATAATAACGATAGCCCGTGTGATAAAAAATCGACAATTTTAGCAGCGCACAATCACGACGATGTGAATCTACCATGTTACCATTCTATCACACGAAACCCACTGTGCCACTGGTCCTTCAATATTTACCTATATGAAATACTGTTACAAATAAACACTTGTGCGGATTGTTACATGTGGGCTTCGACGGAACTTTTTAGAAACTTCAAAGTTGCTAAGAAGTTCCGAAGCGAACTTTGTTTTCAGTCTTGCCTGATGTTCCTAAGTAGCGCTTAGGGGTTATTTTATTAACTTCAAGTTGCTAAGAGTACGCATCGGTACTTTTTAAAGCGTGAAGTTCCTCGTATACTTTCTTTGGCTTCTAAAGCAGCCAGAATGTTCTGATGGAACTTTATGGAACATGAAAGTAGATTTTATCGTGGAATGCGAAACTTTCGGTTGCTTGGGATTGGAGTTCTGGTCAAAACTCTTTTCGTTAATCATGAAATACCTTGGCGTTGTCGCTAGAATTTATTTTAAATGCTCCTTATTCTTCCAAGTGATAAAATCCTGTAACACCAGACCAGTCTAAGGGCTTTGAAAACATTTCAAGGGCCCGTATCTTATTTTTTTTTTCGGAGTGAGGACGAATTACATTAATTTCAAATTTATCATCAAAATAAACTGCTAATGTCTGGTTGTTTTCCTGGTGATTGCGGATTTCCAGCATTTTCCTTGTTTTCCTAATTCCCCAGTTCACTGCTCACCTAGAATTCCCCTTAAAATTATTCATTTGATTCTCTCCTCGCTATTTACTCAGAACTACCTTGGAAGCAATACTAAGACTTTCTTGAAACTCTTCTCATAACGACATTTGAATGCTCCTCAGTATTCCTTTAGATTTATTCCTTGAATATTTTATATAGTCAAGAAATTCTCATCGAAATTATTTTATAAAGTTACAAATGAATTCTGAATTTTTTCCAATAATTTTTAGGTTGTATTCAAATGTAGAACTCATCATGGGTGGTTATCAAAATCCAGCATCTGAATTATCTTAGATGTTATAGAATGAGAAAAATAAAACCTTTTTTTTCGATTCCCACAGTTTAAAAATTTATTTTAGTCCAAAATCTCTTCGTGATCTTAATTCATTTAAATTTCTAACAATGTATTTCAAAGTCCAATTTGTATCTGTCTAAATTCTAATCTAATAACGTTCATAAGCCTTTTTTTTATTAATTTTAGAAACTTTGAAAAGGTTTCAAGATCCAAAAGATCAAAAACCTAGTTAAATTTCAGGACACGGATAACTTTCTGTAACTTTGGAGACTCAGGAAGTTGTGAAATTTTCAAAATCTTGTTAATTTTTAAACCATTAAACCATTTTAAAGAGCATTAAAGTAGGGAGTATATTCCAGAGGCGAGCTAGCGAAGGGCTGAAAGTTTCTCTAATAAAGAAAACTAACTAACTAACAAGTAGGGAGGATGTTCGCCATCTGGACCTAATGCATTCCCAACAAACAATCGTCTATTGAAGAAACGACTTGTTGGCCACTTTATTCAACTGCATGCTTAATAGTACCTGTACTATTTTAAATAATAACTTGTGTTCAGGCTTTGTTCACACAAATCTGGAGAGTTTATTCAACCACAACTTTGAACTACTTGGTTTTGTATAAGGTATGTCGAGTAGCTTTGAGTTGTAATAGAGTTTATAGGTTATTTTTTTTTTTTCTTTATTATTCAGCGTTTATTAGACATTACTGCTTCCTTAAAACCGTGATGCTTCTGTATACGCTTGATTCTCATGTGAAGGAATGTTTCATTAGACATTAGTATACATTTATTAAACGAATTAATAATTAATAACGAAAAAATAATTAACTGTGGGAAAATTAACCCGAAAATAAGAGAGACGGGGACAGGGAAGGGTGTGTTTCTTAAGTGTATTGCATTTATTATTTCTGACGTGGCTCGCACCACACAAATATTAGAAAATTGATTAAATACTTAAACATGTCGTTCCATGGGATTCGAACCATGTACCTTCTGATCACCAGCCGCTTGCCTTGTCATCTGAGTTATCCAAGAATTTATCATATGGGCAACTCAATAATCAAAAAAGCTTGCTTGAAAGTAAATACCTATCAGCACTCCCGATCGCAACTCTAGCTCCTTCAAGGTCCTGTGGGAATGATTCTTTAGTGATGACTGTGATGACTGGAATAAGGTGATCTGGTCAGACGAGACGAAAATAATGCACCATTGATACCATCAGACCATACCATCAGATATCATAACATTTTGGTCCATGAAATGTGGTCCTGGGCCCACTTCAATCTTTTTTTGAAATATATTGCGGACAACCATGGCTTCTTAAGAGCTACTCTGCCCTTAAGACTTTTCTTTTGAAGACGATTTCGTACGGATTGTGATGTCAGTTGAATAGAAAACTCGCTTTCAATCTGTTTCGCAATTTTCGGAGCTGATATTCCCCGGTCGAGCTCCGCATTCTTCACGATAACTCTGTCAATTCAGCCATTTGTCTTTGAAGGACACCCCGATCGCTTGGCTGGTGAGATAGAACCACGCTTTTTGTACATCTGCACAATTCTAGCGACCGTATCTTCGTGAAGCTGGACAATATCGGCGATATCACGGTAGCTTTTGGCAGTTTTGTGATGTTCAATAGTCAATCTTCGGATACTGATCTAAATTTGGTCTTTTTTGGGCATTTTGAAACAAATAACTTCCAATTTTGAACACAAAACTGAAATTTTGAGCACGAAAACTTCAAGAGCACTAAATGACAGATAGACACAATGTTTACATTTGATAAAGTTGCAGAATACACACTAAAACTCTGTAAAACACACTTAAATCATAGTATCCGTTTGGGGGTGGATAATCTTTTTTTGCGTAATTTTTTACAATTTTACATAATTTATCACATGAAATCTCAAGAAAAGATATAAACGCCGTATTTTAAATGGCAATGTGATAAATAAACATAAATTGATAAATCATGGAAGAACACTCATAAAATTAAACTGATTTTCACCAGAAAAACAAAAAAAAATGTAAATTGGTAGGGGCGTGGATAAACTTTTGTTATTTTGTTATATTTAGCATGTTATTAAATCAATTGAAAACAGTCGAATTAAAGCGATAATGCATGTGCAAATAACATTTATTCAGTTTGTTATTAGATCAAACTTCTGGTTCTGAATCAGGAAGACAGTCAACGTTTATAAAGCATTTAATAAGTAAGTTAATCATATCAGAGAAAACGGCGAAATAAAGGCGCATCTATCGATCTCAAAGAGCTTTTTTCAGCACGTTATTCGACATCCTGTTTTATTCAGCATTGTACACTGTTATACAGCATTTATTTAATGTGTATGCCTATTTGTGACTTTGAATTGTTTGTTGGGTTGTTCAGCTTGATATTTGTTCGATCTCGTTGAAGATTTTTTTTTTTCAAACCCCATCTGGCAACCCTGCTGTACAGTCTGTACTCGCTTATATTCCAGTAAGAAGCCAAATAGTCAGTGCCTTCACCCGGAAATAATGCGATAAGTATGGAAATTCGTAATTGTCTACACCCCCAGTACGTCCCAAGCAATCATCGCAAGAAGCCCATAGCAAACCCCCTTTGGTGACTAGTTTTTTCATCTTCTCGCTGCGCACCCATGTGTCACTGCTCAACTTGCAAATTGCTCGAATAGGCCGCAAAATTAGCAATGACAGTCAGCATTTCTCCGCTCCATCGACCGATGGGGCTTCCTTTTTCTCCCATTTGCGTCGTTGTTTTAGTCGTCCGTGTTTTTTCTGTCTGTTTCCTTGGATGGCGCCTTCTTCGATTGCGCGGATCCCCACCGAAAAAAAAACAACTCGGCACAAGAAGTAGGCGACGACGTTTGGGGCAAATCAATTTTATTAGCTTTCACCAATTTCTGTACCTACAGCTCGTTTAGTTTCATCATTGAGCGGAAAACTCGCCAAACACCCGGTTGCCAGGGGCGGATGGGCAGCTGGGCTGCATGCTGCTTAGACGACAATTTATCCGGACAGTGGTCGGCGGTCACTTTTGCTTTTGTTCCATCATGTGCCCAACAGAAATAAAAAGATAAATGGAAATTAACGAGCATTCTCTCATTACGACCGTTTCTCTTTCTTCTTCACTTTTACTTACAGATTGGACAATTTCGGTTTCAGTTAGACGGAACTCATCACTGGTGTGTCGAATTGTGAAGGTCGCAAACACACACACGTCTCGACGAAGGCGGAAGGTGAGAAATCAATTAGTTTTCGCTATTTACACATTTGACGGTGAATTGTCACTTTGACAGCTGCTTGTTTTCTATCTCTGCTCTGTGGGACCATCAACGGAAGTTGTTAAAACATTCTTCTTCTCATTTTGCGTTCACCCAGTAGCGAGCAATGCGATGGTCGATTGACTACACCAAAACAGGACCCTAAAATCGAACGTAAAACTGTCCAATTAAATATGCGAAGCCGTAAAACTGCGAAAGCAATTAAAAACAAGCGATTCAGGATGAGTCCTGCTCCACGCTGGTTTACGGTGAAAGTATCGTTGACTAGTGCAGACCATCCGATTTCGATAAAATTCGCACAATCGGACGTTGTAAATCACTCTGAGCGATGCTTTTAATGGAGGACATTGATTTTCTCATGAAATTGGAACTTAATGTGTAAATATGGCAGCAATGTTGTGACTTTCTGGATATTTAATGTGTGAAAACGCTCCGTTAACTTCTTCTTCTTCTTCTTCGCATTTCAAGCTTATTGCATATCGCATATTAGCTTATTGCGTGCTCTCAACTTAGTGTTCTAGATACACTTCCACAGTTATTAATTGAGAGCTTTCGATGCCTGTACCATTTTTGCATTGGTATAATTGTGTGGCAAGTCCAATCATACTTCTATGCCCAGGGAAGTCGAGAAATTTTTCAACCCGAAAAATTCCTAGACCGAACCGGGAATCGAACCCAGCCACCTCCATCATGGTCTTGCTTTGTAGCTGCGCCTTTACCGACTGAGCCAAGGGAGGCCCCGCGCTCCGTTAACAGCGGCAATGAATTTCTCGAACTAATTGACGACGAAAGACCGTTGAATATTCCATGGAATTTTTTGACTAAGTTATGGTTATTTACTCATTTCATGAGGCGCTAATGAGTAAATAATATTCAACAGAAAATTATTGCTTAAGAAAATATGAAGGATTACTGTAGATGCTGGCTCCTAATTTGATTATCAATTTTGTCGTCGCATTCGATACACCCCTTTGTAATTTAGAGGTGTACTTGGCATACACAACGCAAATAATAATAAAAAAAAAACCTCAATGCTAGTTGCTATTTTATGCGGTATCAAAAAGTAAATTAACAGGCAAAAGCAAAGTTAACTGGAATGAACAACAACAACACAACGAGTTAAACATTCGGTACCGTCGCGGTTACGGCAACCGACAATTTAATACTTAGCACCTGTTGTAACCATTCGTCTAAATCGAGTACAGCTCTTCTCCGTTAAGTGCCAACACGTCACGTGCTCACCAATTAATCCAAAGGTACCTACTGCAACAATGAGAAACTCAAGTACCATTTCTACAGGTAGAACCCTTCAGTTCTGCCTGGTTTGCTTTATTGTGACCAAGAGCACAAATCGTACGCTATAACGGATATGATTCGAGTGAAAATCCGTATCCGTATAACGTAGATTGAGCTGCACACAGCCTTTGGACAGCGGTTGGACTTCAATGTGCAATTGATTGGTCCAGCGTTTCTCAATCTATGGGTAGCAACCCACTGGCGAGTTTCGGATTGTTTTTAGATGGCTCGCAGGTTTTCAGATACCACATTTTGAGGAATTTTGGATCAGGATTAAAATTGAGTACCCAGCAATAAAAAAGGTTGTTAATTGATTATTATTATTATTATTATTATTATTATTTAATTTTGTTCATCGGACTATTGTCTACATGAAACAACCTTAAAGCTAAAACAATTCAAGTGTTTCTAATCCATGCCAAAAAGCGAGATGAAGATTCCCCAAATTCGAATAATTCTTCGACAGCCGTAAACGTACGCATCATAGTTGTTAGTGGTTCGTTGTAACCGAACGCCGTTCGATGGTACCGCGGTTGGAGAAGGGTACCACTTCGTAATGTTCTCGGTGGTACTCGGATATCCAACAGCGAGAGAAGCCTCGAGCAGTCGACCTCACCATTCAATAGCTTGGCAACAAAAACTGCTTGCTGATTTTTCCGTCGGCATTCCAGAGTATCCAAGCTCAGCAGATTGCAGCGATCAAAATACGGCGGGAGATTTTGCGGATCACGCCATGGTAGATTACGTAATGCTATCCTGATAAACTTGCGCTGAACATTATCGATCCTCAAGCTCCAGGTCAACTGATGAGGAAACCAGACCAAGGAGGCATTTTCCAGGATTGGTCGCACAAGTGAGCAATAGAGAGCTTTCAGGCAGTGTGGGTCAATGAAGTCCTTCGATATTTTCGACACAAAACCTAGCTGGCGATTCGCCTTTGTGATCAGAGCAGAGCGGTGGAGGTTGAACGTCAACTTATGGTCCAGTAGAACACCAAGATCACTGAACTGGTCGGTTCTTTGAAGAACCACGCCGTTGATGGCATAGTCAAAAACAATCGGCTGCCTGATGCGGTAATACGACATTACCATACATTTAGTAATGCTGAGGGTAAGCTTATTCCGACGACACCAATCAACGAACAGATCCAATACCGATTGAAGACGAATGCAATCCTCAGCAGTCCGCACCACGAAGTACAGCTTTAGGTCATCGGCATACGCAAGCTTACAGCCATCTCAAAGTAGAAGAAGTGCGTCATTGATGTACAACACAAACAGCAACGGGCCAAGATTGCTACCCTGTGGTACACCTGACGAGTTCGTGAAATACGAGGAAGTACTGGAATCGAGTTTCACTCGCAGAGACCTATCAGTCAAGTAGGAGCACAACCACGAAGTCAAACGGTCCGACGCACCGAGTTTGGATAGCTTTGCCAACATAATGTCATGGTTGATCGTATCAAACGCTGCTTTTAGATCAGTGTAGATGACGTCTATTTGTGCCCCATTTTCCAGTTGCTCAAAACATGTCGTGGTAAAATCTAGCAGATTTGTGGTAACCGATCGTCCAGGCATGAAGCCATGTTGGTCACTAGAGATATAGCATTTGGTGTGCTCAAGAATGAAACCACTCACAATTATCTCAAACAGTTTTGATGCTGCAGAGAGATTAGTAATTCCTCTGTAGTTTTTAACGTCACGTTTACCTCCTTTCTTGTGTACCGGAACCATAAATGACTCTTTCCAGATTGCAGGAAATTTCGACTCTACAAAAAATTTGTTGAAGATTCTGCAAAGCGGTTCAACAAGCGCTCCAATGGTACGACAATACACTGCAGAAGGAATGCCATCTGGTCCAGGCGAGCAGGTACATTTCATTTTCTTGGCGGCATTAGTTACCATAACGGGCGTTATTTCAAAAGTGTTTATGTCAACAAGGTTTGAAGGCACATCCGAAACAGCCGAGACAAGTTCAGTCGAGGTGATGGATTCTGCGGCAAAAACCGACGAAAAATGAGCAGCAAAAAGCTCAAATTTCTCCCCGCCTATCGACGATTCAACGTCATTGAAAAAACGCTTGCAGGCATTGTTGAATTTTTCCTCTTCGAGTTTACATAGCTCCAAAAGCTCTTGGGGTTTCGCCTTAAATTAGTTTGCACTCGTAAAACGTACGATTTGTAGAGCGAAGAGTTTAGATTACGGTACTCGTTACACGCCAAGTGAAAACTACGCTTATTTGCCAGGGAACGGTATCGCCGAAGTCTACGTTGCGAAGCATTTCTTTTTCGTTTTAGTTTTCGTAGCAAAGCGGTGCTCCACGCAGGAAAAACAGCAGGCCGACGAATCGGTACGTTTGTATCCATCCAATTATTTAGCACAGCACACAACGTTTCAGCCATTTCATCAGCATTCAGTCCATCGAAAAGAAGATCCCAGTCAGTGACGGAAAGGAAGTCCATTAGAACATCGAAATCAATCTTGCTATAGTCTAACGCAAGCTCATCACTCGCATTCAGCAGCAGTGCACCGTCATCAACTAGAGATGGTAAGCAGACGACTAGTGGCGGATGATGAAGATCAACTGGCAAAAGTGGTGAAACAGATCTCGAGATTTCCACAGGAAAGTCCGTATGGCAAAAGAACAAATCCAGGATGCGTCCTAAGTGGTTGCGCTCGAGATTTCTCTGATGCAGGTTGTGGAAATCCATGCCATCAATCAAGAATGAGCTAGCAACTGGTAAAGGAACAGAGTTCACAGATCGAATCTCGCCATCAGCCCAACTCCAGGATATCCCAGGTTGATTGTAGTCACCGCATACCAGCAAGCAATCGCTGTCAGAGCCACTGTTACAAAGCTCTTGGATCGATTCAATATGCCCATTCAAAACGCTATGATCCTTGCTCTTGTCTGGAGGAACGTAAATTGCACGCAGCAATAGTCGCTTGGATCCAATCCTCGTCGATACACACACTTGTTCTATCGTTTCTCCGCTCGTTGCAACGACACTGCTACTGATGAAACGATGATGTACGGCAATTAGAACCCCTCCGAAACGAGATTTGCTGCTGTTTATATGGCTTCGGTCACATCGGTACACATTGTAGTTGCTTCCGAAAAGCTACGTCGAATTGATAGCCTCGTTAAGCCCCGTCTCGATTAAAATGATGACGTCAAAATTGCACTCCAGGACGTTGCAGTAAAAGTCGTCGATCTTGGTGCGCAGTCCACGTACGTTTTGGTAATAAACCCATAAACGACTAGCGTCACGGGTCGTGTTCTGCAACATGGAAATATTTGGTGAATGGTACAGATACTCACCTCTGGTGGAAACCCTAGGGTTTCCACCGTCCACAGAATGTCGCAAAGTATGATTATTGATAATGGTGCTAACCCTAGGGTTTCCACCGTCCACATGATAGAGCCTTAAGTATTTGTCAGTGGATTGCCGTTGGATCCAGACTGGTTTTTTGAGTAGTCGGTGAATTCACGGAATAATATCCCATCAGGCCACGTAGAAGCGTCGAGAGCTAGTTCTTTCAGCGATGGATCCAAGCCAACTTTGAAGGACATGAAAGTCAGCTTCGTCATATCCACTTCCTTGGGAATGAGACGCACGACGTCAGCAGGTGTTGTTAGATCCAAGCAGCGAGAAGTAA